GTTTGGTAGAATTCCCCTGGGAAGCCATCTGGCCCTGGGCTTTTGTTTGTTGGGAGATTTTTGATGACTGCTTCAATTTCCTTTGTGGTTATAGGTCTGTTATACACAAACAATGAATCATGGAACACTACATCAAAAACTAATAATGTAATGTATGGTGATCAACATAACAATAAAAAATTAAAAATATATTCATATTGAAACATATATCAACACTCTTTGTATTCATATAAACAAATAAATTGTATTTTGTAAATAAACATATCTTTGTGGAATTTTCACAGAGGTGGAGAGTACATGTGGAGATATACCTGAACTTCATTACGGCTCTGTTGCTGAGTCTTCTGCCCCTCCCTATCGCCATGGAGATTCAGTAGAGTTCAATTGCAAAGAAGAATTTACAATGATTGGACACAAGTCAATTACATGTATTAGTGGAATGTGGACCCCACTTCCTCAGTGCATCGGTGAGAAGACACTTCTCAAATTGACAGTCAATGAAATTTAATATTTTTATAGTAAAAACTATGTTTGCAAACATATATTTGAAATTTAGGTATATTCTTGAAAATGTCAGGTCTTAGGAGTACCTGGGTGGCTCAGTAGGTTAAGGGTCTGCCTTCCACCCAGGTTATGATCCTAGGGTCCTTCTCCTTCTCTCTCTGACCCTCCCCCTGCTCGTGCTCTGTCTCTCTCTCTCTCTAGCACTCTCTCTCAAATAAGTAAATAAAATCTAAAAAAAAAAAAAAAGAAAATATCAGGTCTTAAATTATAATGAAGACCTACATTGCTTATAGTTCATTACATGTCCACAAATTAGCAATAGAATTTTATCAATATTCTGTCCCAGATATTTACATTGTTTATAAGTATGAAGCTAAATTTTACTTATAGTTATTCATATGATTTAAATATGAATACTAATTGCCAAAATAGAAGTATATTTGCATAAATGCCACTTTTGTTTTTACATGACACTCTTGATTTCAGGCACTGGAAAACAAATAAACTTCATACCCACTTGCTACATTCCTATAGGATCTTGCCTCTCTCAAAGTTTCTAACAATTTCCCAATCTGTTTCAAATGCAACAAGTTTATGTGCTGAAGGGTGGGTGGGCTGCAGGCCCTCACAGTCGGTGGTAGAACTCAGTCAAAGGAGGCAGTCAGGGTTAGGCCATGAAACAAATCTGATGGATGGACTTCCCTCTGATTGATGTGTGTGAATCTTCCTGACCTTTGGATACCAAGTCTTTTATGACTAACTGTGAGAATATTGGGGGCCCTTTTCATTTTTCCTTTGGAATGAGTTCTTTCCTAGAGTTTTCCTAAGTCCTACATTCAAAGAGAGCCCTGGATGTCCAGTCTTATTTATTCATCAGATTTCTAGGCATTAATTGTTCCAAGGAGAAGGTAGGGCTTGGGCTCATGCTCCTTGAGAACAGAGATTTACTCCTATTTTGTTCATGATGTATTCCCAATACCCAAAAGACTGGCAGACATACAGCAGACATTACATACAGCAGACATTACATTACATACAGAGTTTGTTGAATGAATCATAAAGTTTTGGTGCTTATTAATCCTTACATTTTTGCTAAACACATTCCCATTAGAAGTATCATCAGTCCTTCAAGACCAAACTTCATCTTTGTCCTCTTCTGTCTCCACAGATGATCTCCCCTTATTTCATATGGGAGGAAAAACCCAAGGTTATAACAGGCATGAAAACTCTCAACTTTCATTCTTATTCTGAAACATCTGCTTCAATTATTACTCTTTTCTGATCTCAGAGTTTGCCTTCCAAAGGTTAATCTTCTACCTATATTCAGCTTAACATAATCCCCTTACAGGTATAATAGACCTTACTCCAATTTTCTCCTCTCAGTGTTTATTTTGTACCTCCAGCTAGTCTAGCTGTTCACTCTTCTCTGAATGTTTATTTTCCCCTAATGAACAAAGAAATTTTTTCAGAAACCAATCAATCATAGGACAATGACAACAACCACCACCACTCCTTTTGACTATAGATCGTCCTTTAGTTACCATCACCTGAACACCTTGTTTTGTCTCCCTCAACACTGTGGACAAGCCCTAAAAATAGGATAAATTCTTGCCTCTAGTTTTTTTGAATTAGTCTCCTTTGTTTTATTTTTCAATGTATTACAAAATCATTACTTCTTTGGTTAATCATTAACAAATCATTAATAAAGACCTACATCAACTCATATTTTATCAAATCCAAAAAGTACTTTAATCTGTATTGAATTTTTGAAATACGTAGCTACATAAAAAGTTGTTATATTTAACTCAGAGTCACCAAAGTTTACTATTATAATGTTAAAATATTATTGAATTATAGGGTGATCTGATATATAAAACAGCTCTTCAAAGATTGTAAGAGTATAAACAGGAGGGTGCCTGGGTGGCTTAGTTGGTTAAGTGACTGCCTTCAGCTCGAGTCATGATCCCGGGCTCCTTGCTCAGCGGGGAGTCTGCTTCTCCCTCTAACACTACCCCCTCTTGTGCTCTCTCTTTCTCACTCTCTCAAATAAATAAAAAAATTTAAAAATAAAAAAAGAGTATAAACAGGAAACAGGTTGTGGCTTTAAGCACCCAACTTCTAATTCTAAGAATCTGTTCCTAATTTTTAGTGATCATGCAAAAGATCTACTTAAGTATTCACATTCTGTATACTACATCTTAGATGTACTTTTCTTATTATATTACATTACCTTTATTGAAAAAAATATATTTAAACTAGCAACTTCATATATTCTATTTCCACAGATAAATATGGGACCAAATGTAGTCAGGTGATGACTGTTCAGTCTGTAGATCATCCAAAAAAGTGAGCCTCTTATACTTTTTTAATGCCCAAAGTGCAGAATGTATTTATGATGGACATTTTCTCTGAAATTTCAAAGACTGGACACAGGACTTATGTTCATACATAAGAGCCCATCTCATGCAATATGGTCAGGAATAAATTGGTTGGTGGGGTTTATGGGCTCAAATTCTAATTTCATTATACTATTGACTCTAAGCTATTTTTTGTAGTAGTTGCTTTGATTCTTATAATTAGTCTTTTCAAGGGAATGTTTTCATTTTATAGCAAATGATGAACTTGAGAAGTGTAAATACAGCTTGACTAGACAAGAAGCAAATCCATTAAGACTGTATTTGATCATAATGA